TGCTCAATTGCTCTTTTTGACTATATATCATTAACTTATTTTCATTTTAAATCTATATTTCAATCAGTAATGAAGACAGTTTAATGATATAATCATTATTTCCGAAATTAATGTGCGTGTCAAATTATCAGAAGTTGGTGGCTAACCAAAACAATCTGATGTATACATTTTAAACAGAAATGATTAAAATTCAACTGAATTTCAAACAATCTAAATCAAGTCATATTTTCCAAATTACTTTAAAAAAATCGACTTAATATGTAGATATCTTAATTGACAATCGGATACTTTACTTTCGTTCAGGTGAGACTATTAGAGAAAGGGTTTCCAAATTGTCAATGTTAAGAGAATATTTGCTGTTCTAATTAATTCAGAAATTAATGTGATGCATGTTTTAATTCAAATCCTACATTGGAGTACAAATAAAAAAGAAGATGTGGTAGGATTGCCAATGAGACAACTCTCCACAAGAGACCAAATGACACAGAAATTAACAACAATAGGTCACCGTACGGCCTTCAACAATGAGCAAAGCCCATACTGCACAGTCAGCTATAAAAGGCCCAGAAATGACAATGTAAAAACAATTCAAACATGAATACTAAGTATACTTTCTTATTAAAATATATTTCATTAGAGTATAAATTTGAAAAAGAAATTTTGGACTAATTTGTAATAAATTTTCAAGCTGTTTCTCCAGGGAAAACTGATTTTATTACCTTACAACTATTAACAGTTTAAGTACAATTGTAATGACAAAATACCTACATCATCATCTGGGCATCTACAACTAAATCATCGCCATGTCTAGGACTGTAATTTCGTCTTCTTCTCTCAGGGCTCCCGTCTATCTGTAATACATAATCAAATTATTTTAATATCTATCAGACAACTATTAATAAATAAAAAAAAAATATACTTACTTTCCGATGCATATGTTACCTGTCCTGACGTAAATATCCTGGGGCTGGTATCTGAAACAAAAACAAAATAAGTTCAAAAATATTGAACCAAATATAAAACTTAAAAAATTTGCTACTTTAATTTTTTTTTCATTCAAAATATCTATAAAGAAAAACTGGCATTAATGGCAGCTATCATCATTGCTCAATTGCTCTTTTTGACTATATATCATTAACTTATTTTCATTTTAAATCTATATTTCAATCAGTAATGAAGACGGTTTAATGATATAATCATTATTTCCGAAATTAATGTGCGTGTCAAATTATCAGAAGTTGGTGGCTAACCAAAACAATCTGATGTATACATTTTGAACAGAAATGATTAAAATTCAACTGAATTTCAAACAATCTAAATCAAGTCATATTTTCCAAATTACTTTAAAAAAATCGACTTAATATGTAGATATCTAAATTGACAATCAGATACTTTACTTTCGTTCAGGTGAGACTATTAGAGAAAGGGTTTCCAAATTGTCAATGTTAAGAGAATATTTGCTGTTCTAATTAATTCAGAAATTAATGTGATGCATGTTTTAATTCAAATCCTACATTGGAGTACAAATAAAAAAGAAGATGTGGTAGGATTGCCAATGAGACAACTCTCCACAAGAGACCAAATGACACAGAAATTAACAACAATAGGTCACTGTACGGCCTTCAACAATGAGCAAAGCCCATACTGCACAGTCAGCTATAAAAGGCCCAGAAATGACAATGTAAAAACAATTCAAACATGAATACTAAGTATACTTTCTTATTAAAATATATTTCATTAGAGTATAAATTTGAAAAAGAAATTTTGGACTAATTTGTAATAAATTTTCAAGCTGTTTCTCCAGGGAAAACTGATTTTATTACCTTACAACTATTAACAGTTTAAGTACAATTGTAATGACAAAATACCTACATCATCATCTGGGCATCTACAACTAAATCATCGCCATGTCTAGGACTGTAATTTCGTCTTCTTCTCTCAGGGCTCCCGTCTATCTGTAATACATAATCAAATTATTTTAATATCTATCAGACAACTATTAATAAATAAAAAAAAAATATACTTACTTTCCGATGCATATGTTACCTGTCCTGACGTAAATATCCTGGGGCTGGTATCTGAAACAAAAACAAAATAAGTTCAAAAATATTGAACCAAATATAAAACTTAAAAAATTTGCTACTTTAATTTTTTTTTCATTCAAAATATCTATAAAGAAAAATTGGCATTAATGGCAGCCATCATCATTGCTCAATTGCTCTTTTTGACTATATATCATTAACTTATTTTCATTTTAAATCTATATTTCAATCAGTAATGAAGACGGTTTAATGATATAATCATTATTTCCGAAATTAATGTGCGTGTCAAATTATCAGAAGTTGGTGGCTAACCAAAACAATCTGATGTATACATTTTGAACAGAAATGATTAAAATTCAACTGAATTTCAAACAATCTAAATCAAGTCATATTTTCCAAATTACTTTAAAAAATCGACTTAATATGTAGATATCTAAATTGACAATCGGATACTTTACTTTCGTTCAGGTGAGACTATTAGAGAAAGGGTTTCCAAATTGTCAATGTTAAGAGAATATTTGCTGTTCTAATTAATTCAGAAATTAATGTGATGCATGTTTTAATTCAAATCCTACATTGGAGTACAAATAAAAAAGAAGATGTGGTAGGATTGCCAATGAGACAACTCTCCACAAGAGACCAAATGACACAGAAATTAACAACAATAGGTCACCGTACGGCCTTCAACAATGAGCAAAGCCCATACTGCACAGTCAGCTATAAAAGGCCCAGAAATGACAATGTAAAAACAATTCAAACATGAATACTAAGTATACTTTCTTATTAAAATATATTTCATTAGAGTATAAATTTGAAAAAGAAATTTTGGACTAATTTGTAATAAATTTTCAAGCTGTTTCTCCAGGGAAAACTGATTTTATTACCTTACAACTATTAACAGTTTAAGTACAATTGTAATGACAAAATACCTACATCATCATCTGGGCATCTACAACTAAATCATCGCCATGTCTAGGACTGTAATTTCGTCTTCTTCTCTCAGGGCTCCCGTCTATCTGTAATACATAATCAAATTATTTTAATATCTATCAGACAACTATTAATAAATAAAAAAAAAATATACTTACTTTCCGATGCATATGTTACCTGTCCTGACGTAAATATCCTGGGGCTGGTATCTGAAACAAAAACAAAATAAGTTAAAAAATATTGAACCAAATATAAAACTTAAAAAATTTGCTACTTTAATTTTTTTTTCATTCAAAATATCTATAAAGAAAAACTGGCATTAATGGCAGCCATCATCATTGCTCAATTGCTCTTTTTGACTATATATCATTAACTTATTTTCATTTTAAATCTATATTTCAATCAGTAATGAAGACGGTTTAATGATATAATCATTATTTCCGAAATTAATGTGCGTGTCAAATTATCAGAAGTTGGTGGCTAACCAAAACAATCTGATGTATACATTTTGAACAGAAATGATTAAAATTCAACTGAATTTCAAACAATCTAAATCAAGTCATATTTTCCAAATTACTTTAAAAAAATCGACTTAATATGTAGATATCTAAATTGACAATCGGATACTTTACTTTCGTTCAGGTGAGACTATTAGAGAAAGGGTTTCCAAATTGTCAATGTTAAGAGAATATTTGCTGTTCTAATTAATTCAGAAATTAATGTGATGCATGTTTTAATTCAAATCCTACATTGGAGTACAAATAAAAAAGAAGATGTGGTAGGATTGCCAATGAGACAACTCTCCACAAGAGACCAAATGACACAGAAATTAACAACAATAGGTCACCGTACGGCCTTCAACAATGAGCAAAGCCCATACTGCACAGTCAGCTATAAAAGGCCCAGAAATGACAATGTAAAAACAATTCAAACATGAATACTAAGTATACTTTCTTATTAAAATATATTTCATTAGAGTATAAATTTGAAAAAGAAATTTTGGACTAATTTGTAATAAATTTTCAAGCTGTTTCTCCAGGGAAAACTGAATTTATTACCTTACAACTATTAACAGTTTAAGTACAATTGTAATGACAAAATACTTACATCATCATCTGGGCATCTACAACTAAATCATCGCCATGTCTAGGACTGTAATTTCGTCTTCTTCTCTCAGGGCTCCCGTCTATCTGTAATACATAATCAAATTATTTTAATATCTATCAGACAACTATTAATAAATAAAAAAAAAATATACTTACTTTCCGATGCATATGTTACCTGTCCTGACGTAAATATCCTGGGGCTGGTATCTGAAACAAAAACAAAATAAGTTCAAAAATATTGAACCAAATATAAAACTTAAAAAATTTGCTACTTTAATTTTTTTTTCATTCAAAATATCTATAAAGAAAAACTGGCATTAATGGCAGCCATCATCATTGCTCAATTGCTCTTTTTGACTATATATCATTAACTTATTTTCATTTTAAATCTATATTTCAATCAGTAATGAAGACGGTTTAATGATATAATCATTATTTCCGAAATTAATGTGCGTGTCAAATTATCAGAAGTTGGTGGCTAACCAAAAGAATCTGATGTATACATTTTGAACAGAAATGATTAAAATTCAACTGAATTTCAAACAATCTAAATCAAGTCATATTTTCCAAATTACTTTAAAAAAATCGACTTAATATGTAGATATCTAAATTGACAATCGGATACTTTACTTTCGTTCAGGTGAGACTATTAGAGAAAGGGTTTCCAAATTGTCAATGTTAAGAGAATATTTGCTGTTCTAATTAATTCAGAAATTAATGTGATGCATGTTTTAATTGAAATCCTAAATTGGAGTACAAGTATACATTCTTATTAAAATATATTTCATTAGAGTATAAATTTGAAAAAGAAATTTTGGACTAATCTGTAATAAATTTTCAAGCTGTTTCTCTAGGGAAAACTGATTTTATTACCTTAAAAATATTAACAGTTTAAGTACAATTATAATGACCAAATACCTACATCATCATCTAGGCATAATGGCATCTACAATGAAATCATCTCCAGGTCTACGACTGTACTTTTCTTCTCTGGGGTTCCGTCTATCTGTAATATATATTAAAATTATTTTAATATTTATCACACAACTATCAATAAATTAAAAAAAAATATACTTAACTTTTGGATGCATGTGTTACCTGTTCTGATTAAGTATCTTGAGGCTGGTATCTGAAACAAAAACAAAATAATGTCGAACTGGCCATTCATTGTTATGCAATTTTCATCCGATCTGTATACTATGCATAATTGTATTCCCCATGGAAATTGTAAATTTGAACAGTGCATATAATACATATATGTATTATATGTCTCTGGTAATACAAATCCTTGAAATAATCAGGTTGGGAACAAACCCTCTATATGGTGTTTATACCTGTATAGAGGAATAATCCTTCTATAGATCTATAGAGGGGTATTTTTGTTTAGACTGGTTTAAAAGCAAAATAGGGCAGAATGGCATTTTCTACTTATTATGGCAGTAACCTGCAACATTTGATGCACCAATTGGATGTACTTAATTTGATATGCACATGCCCAGTTTACTGTTAAACTGACTGAATATACAATCTATTGTTCACCATAATTGAAAGCTGTGATGATCAGGTAAATTCCACTCAGTTATGCCTCACTGAACAGAATTTCTATTGTTAGATTTAACATAAAATTTTAAGGTCAACTGTCCCTTTTGTTGTTGATCAGGTGTTCAGATAGGTATACAATAGATTGCAAGTTATGTCACTTTAGCAGAAAACTGGGCATCCCAATTTTAAGTCAAGTGCAATAATAGATGCATATAGTGCTATAGATTATAGCCAATATAACTAGAAAATGCCATTCTGCCCTATTTTGCTATAAATCCAGTCTTAAAATTGAGAATGGAAATGGGGAATGTGTCAAAGAGACAACAACCCGACCATAGAGCAGACAACAGCCGAAGGCCACCAATGGGTCTTCAATGCAGCGAGAAACTCCCGCACCCGGAGGCGTCCTTCAGCTGGCCCCTAAACAAATATGTATACTAGTTCAGTGATAATGGACGTCATATTAAACTCCAAATTATACACAAGAAACTAAAATTAAAAATGATACAAGACTTAACAAAGGCCAGAGGCTCCTGACTTGGGACAGGTGCAAAAATGCGGCGGGGTTAAATATGTTTTTTGAGATCTCAACTCTCCCCCTATACCTCTAGCCAATGTAGAAAAAACAAACGTACAACAGTACGCACAGTAAAACTCAGTTTAAGAGAAGTCCGAGTCCGATGTCAGAATAGGAAACAAAAGAAAATAAACAAAATGACAATAATACATAAATAACAACAGACTACTAGCAGTTACTGACATGCCAGCTCCAGACCTCAATTAAACTGATTGAAAGATTACGTCTTCATCATATGAATATCAGGCACAATCCCTCCTGTTAGGGGTTTAGTATTATACCATCATAAAATATATGAGAAGAACATAACTCCTGTCATGCCAACAACTGGTTTTAGAATAAATATGTTTAATTCTGATGCAACACATATACCCCTCTATAGAGGGATAAAATCTATAGAAGGATTATTCCTCTATACAGGTATAAACACCATATAGTGGGTTTGTTCCCAACCTGATAATGTAGCCCAGTTGATCAAAACTGTGCGTGCTAATGCACGGAAAGTAATGCAGCCAGTTCCAACCAAACAATTGAAAAACTATGCATGCTTAAATATTTTATGTAGTGCACAGTTTTACAATTTTGTTGGATGAATGCATTGCTTTACAATTTTCATACGACTTGTACACCATTCACAATTCCTCTAAAATTGTTAAAAGTTGACACATTTTAATCGCAGATACATGATTTTTTATTAGCTGTTATTTGCTTTGAACTATTGCTGTCAGTAACTGAGAGTACTCTCAGATCTGTACTTTGTGTCTTTTTTTGTTGTAAGTGTCGCCGGGTATTTTTCCCATATGGCTGTACAAGTTCGTAAGTGCCCACAAATATTTATTCTGTAAATATATATACAATGATAGTTACAAATAGTATAAATATACCCAGGGGCGGATCCAGTCATTTTTAAAAGGGGAGTACCAACAATATGCCTCCATTCAAAAACAATGATCGTCAAAAAAAGGGGGGTTCCAACCCCAGACCCCCCGGATCCGCCACTGTATCCCATTAAGGTTCATCTGAAGGAATTGAAAAATGTGGGCATTATTACACCCAAAAATCTACTATGAGTACAGATAAACTAATGCATCTAGGAAAGTTTTAAGGCATGGCAGGGCCTAGATGTTTCAGAAAATCAATTACTTACTTGGGTTTTGATGTGCATTTTTTCAAGTCTGCAGAAGATAGCAAAATAAACAAACACACGAGTTTCATTTGATACGGTCCACTCAGTTACACAGTTTAAATCACCTATTGTTTACAGGTGTCTATTGTCCATCTATTGTCCATTTAAATCAATACTACTCACAACATTGATTACATAAGGGGAGCTTCTCAAACGTTTTCCCTACTTAGTTTATTTTTGCACCTTCTGCAGGAATGAAAAAAAATTAATAGCAAAATCCAGAAAAGTTTATAATTTTCTGAATCATAAAATGCATTTAAAATTTAATAATCTAGGTCATGCCATGCTTTAAAACTTTTACAGGTGCACAGGTTTGTCTGTACTCAGAGTAAAATTTGTGGTGTAAATACGGCCATATTAGCCAAAAGGTTATGATCAACCTTAAACAATAGTAGTCAAGAAATAACCCAGTTATAAACGAAAATATTAGAACCTAACCTAAAAACTAACAAATAAAAACACCAACCTGTAAATATATATAGGTAATGGCGCAAGCTACCTGCAGGGTTCCAACGCCTGAATACAGATGTGAAAAGATATTACAGGTAAGAAGGGATTTTTTTGGCGGTAACTAGAGGGCATGCAGGTAAAAAGGCGTGCTTGATTTGGATTTATCATTCGTAAAGCGTCAATGTAATACGATAATGAATATGAAATATGATATGAATGCATGTATAACATAAAAAATAAATAAATAACAATAATAAAAATAAAGTTAAAGAAATATTTCATGCGGTGACATTAGGGATGTGTAAATATCCTGCCACGTCCGGTCTGTTTTTGTAAAATGTTTTTCTGGTTTGGATCGATTTGATGAGTCAAGCCCTTTTCAACTGATTTTTATAGTTTGTTCCTATGTTATACAAAACTATCGATATATCTTGTGTCAAATAAATATTTGATAATCACGCGGATAGAGTGCATAATACTAAGACGGTCATTTAAAAAAATTGTCGAATTTTCAGTACACCTTTGCTAAAAATAATTTTTAAAGGAAAATGCAGTTGTAAGTGTTTAAATAAAAGTTTGTGAGATTTATGATTCGGAACATCATTAATAAACACGAATCAGATCTCTTTTGATAAGATTAAAATATATTTAAGTAATTTATGTGCGTGCAGTGTCAGGGTGACACATTTCAAATGATTTTTTTTGCTATTTTCTGATTGCCTTGCTATCTGCAAAAGGAATTTTTTAGAATGTTGATGATAACTCTAACGAAAAATCACTGCTTCTTTATTATTCTATGTAATATTTTTTTCTACAAACTAAATTCAATCGGTGTACATGAAGTGCATGTCTATCCTGTTACCACTACTAAATCAACAGTTAAATTGGTCCCCCTATGAATATGGAACTATTCAGTGCTGATTTCAAAAGCACAAATCATCCTAAAAATTTAACATTGCACGTTTCTTGTATAACAGTGTAGAGAAAAGAAAATTCAAGACATTTAGTGAAAAAAATAGTGGGTACCCTTTTGTCATGTCTATGCTGTTACCAACATATTTATTAATTACACCAATATTATACTTGTAAAAAGTGCAATTACGTGTTGGAAACCAATATCACAACAGAAAAACATTATCACTTCATGAAAGGGAGTAGTTATTTCACAACAGCATTCATAAATAGGAATTTGTCTATCCGGTTACTATGGTTACTATTGTTACAGTAACAGGATAGACAATATTTGACAAAAACGTGTTTAAAAAGTTTATAATTACATATAGTTTCACACATAATGATTAATTCAGCATATTCAAATGCAATACTGCTATCTATACTATGGAACGCCACAGCTGTCTTATGTGGAACTCTGATATTACGTTATGTTGTTCTATTATTACTTGATGATAGTTTGTCTTTACATAATATGGTTTTGACATTACGTAATGATGTTTTGATATAACTCAATATGGAATAGTCATTACTTAAGTTGTTGTTCATAGTTATTTGGTATGAAAAAGGGGAACGACAGACAAAATTAACAAAAAAACTAAAACATTTACAGTAATTCGGACATATGAGGGGGATATCCCAAAACCACTTGCCGGTTTTTTCTTGGTTCTCAAATGGAAGCAGTATTATAATGAATTCGTAAATGATTCCAATGAACACTGCTAGCTTTATCTTGGTCTTGAAGAATAACTCCTATACAAGTTTTATAACAATTCATAGAGATTTACAAATTTATCACATCAAAATAGTTTAATTCGGTAATATTCAATGCAAAAAACAAACTCATATAGAAATAAAAAAAATGTGGTATGATTGCCAATGAGACAACTCTCAACCACATACCAAATGGCGTAGAAGTTAATATATATGTGTGACTGTATGGTCTTTAAGAATGAGCAAAACTCATACCACATAGTAAGCTTAAAAAGGTCTCGAAATGAAAAATATAAAAACAATTCCAACTAGAAACCTAACGATCTAAATGCTGAAGACGCCGACTATATAGGTTTGTTGTATCTCACTGTCGCTACATTAATGTCGCAGGAATGACACAAATCAAAAGACTTGTACTGTATTTTCAACAAATGAGACACTTTAAATCAACTCGCACTAAAGTTACAGGGAAATGGCCGGGGGGGGGGGGGGGGACTAAGCGACAAAGCATCAATTC